GCAGAATGCAGACTGCTAGTAGTTGAACATACTAAGCTGGTTGTACACTGCCCGTAAACAGGAAAGAAACCTGATGTCGATGGGGAGAGATTTTTCTGCCAAGTTATTGCATTAGCAGGTACTTGTTTCATTAATCTAAAAACCATTATGTTATAATGTTTGAGAGTGATCTAGGAGGAAGTTATTGTATCCCTAGGGAGTTTGAAATGTCTACAAGAAAGAGAAGTCTTTGATTAACAATCTTCACTCAGCGGCGAGTGCACTGAGCCTGTCATTCTAGTTTGCATACCCCCAACACAATAAGAAGGTGTTTCCTCAAGATTGCCAGTCCTAACACATAAAATTCAATCATTCGGACTGGCAGACGAGCACTTAATGTGACGCGAGATTAAAGACTTGGAACATGTTGTTGTCACCCTAATGTATAGCTGATTCAGCGCATAAGAACGTGTGTTAACTTCATGACTCTGGGAACGTGAAGTTAACAAACTTGAACTGTGACATCTCGATTTTCATAGTTACTAATATACTTCATGCTCCAGGAAGTGACTAAAAGAAGGTATTCTGTGAATGCAGTTGCACTAATGCCGTCCATTGTACTAGATGGTGTATTAGCAGGGACGGTGGGTTACTTTCTGCAACTCAAGTTGTGGTGAAGGTACTGTGCTCCCCTCTGCTAGTGACTTGTTGGGTGGGCCGGTCACCTCCTATAAAATAGATATAATACTATTTAATTTTCAGGGGATGTGAATGAGTGCCTGCAAAGCATTATGAGAATCTTCTTGGATGAAGGGGGCACAAAGGGCAAAGTATTATGTGATGTGTGGATGGTTTCAAATGCAGTGTGCCCCTCTATAGGTGAGGTTGTTGTATGAGTTTAAATGTGCAGTAGTTGGGGAAATCTTTTCACTATGGCTTCATCCTTTTGTTCACTGGCAAAAGGAGTTGCCAGACTTCTGTACTGCACATGGAAATCGGCTTTGTCTGTCTATCCAGTAAAAAATCCTTGTGGAGAGGGGGGAAATTGGAGGCTCTGGAATGAGTTTTTGCTTAGCTGAATCCCAATCCAGTGCACTGTGAGACTGTCTCTTAAAATACCAATGGACATTTGAAGATTGCTTAAGCAGCTAAATGTTAGCTCCTGAATCTTGTAGAAAAGTGGGGCCCTTAAAGCAAAAACCCCAGTGACGTGCATACTGGGGTGGAGGCAGAACAGTACCTGCTGCTGTGGTTCAAACTAGCATGAGAGTGGGGGCTGCTGGAGCTTGTGCAGAGAAAGCGCACGTCACACACGCTGTCACCGGTTGTTGACAGCATTCTCCTCGTCTATTGGTGTCCAAACAGAGTGCTAAGAAATTAATAGAGAGTTGAGGCTTAGTTCTGCTTTCTACCTTACAGATGGTCCTTTTAGGATCAGGTTTGAAGTGCATGTCTACAGGTGGGCTTTAATGTGCATTAGCCTATTTTAATGCATATTAAAGTGTCACTAAAAACCGTGGGCATTTTTGCACATGCAAGTGCTGGGCACTTTGAAAAGCACCCAGCACTGCAACGCTTGCCACTGTATAAGTGGTGAAATGTGCATCAGCACTGAGAAAATGACAGCAGTGCACGTTTGAACTAAAACACCTCAGAGGTGCTTTAGTTCAAAAGCGCACCGCAGCCATTTTCTGTGCGCTGGCATGCTTTTCGCCACGTACACAACTGCACGCAGTACAGCACAGTGCACGTCAGCTTGCGTGCGGAGCAGACTTGATTGAGTCTGCTCCGTAGCGGCAGATATCCGGCACATCGCAGGACAAAAAGGTGTGCGTATAAATGTCCGTACCGTGTGATTCAGTTAATGTGCATTAAAATAGGCTAATGCACATTAAACAGCACTTAAAAACCATGCTCTTTAGTTAATGTGCATTAAGACAGGCTAATGCACATTTTCCTAGTACTGCACCATGGAGGGTGCCTATGGACCAGCATGGAGGCTGTTCCAACACGCTGGAATTCCAGTGCATTGGAGCAGACTGGATTAATCGAGTCTGGAGCATGGCAATTGCTGCGCTCCAGCAGCCTCCAGCACCTTGTGTATCAGCATCCCCACGCTTGAAAATGGTGGCGGGGGCACTTGAACTAAAGCTCATTAAATGAGCTTTAGTTCAATTGCCCCCACCACCATTTTCAAGAGCTGGGACACTGATACATGACACGCGGTGGCGCTTTGATTAGAGCAGCTCTCAGAGCCGCTCTAAGGAAAGCACCACCCCCCTACCCCCAGAGCTCATGTAAAAGTGCCCAGAGGTACTAGATTTAATGCACATTAAAGCTTCTTAACGCATGTGTAGATGCACCCGCAGAGAGGGACATTTACATCCATAGCCTGAACTGTGCTTGTTCTGTAGAGAGGATTTTGTTTCTCCGAGCTGTTAATCCAGCACCTTTTGTGAGCACAGACATTCTGCCTTTGTGCAGTGGCAGGTAGTGGACACTAAAGTGGGAGAAAAAGCCCCACTTCTGGCTCTTTTCTGCAGAAGGATCGTATTTGTAAAGATCTGGGGTGCAAACACGGATGAACACGTGCACTGTAACTTCTTTGCTTACTCCAGTGTTTGCAGGACCGTAGTCATCTAGGCTTCTAACTGTTGCCTAAGAAGAAAGTTAAAGAATTGTGGAATTGGATGAGAATTTTTTTTATGGGATTTTTTTTGGGGGGGTGAATTAGAAATGTAATTAATGGAATGTTGTGGAACAAGATTGTTATTTTTTCCAATTAAATTCCTGACTTAAAATTGTTGCTTGAAGGAAAAGGGCTTAGAAATCATCAATTTCCACTTTCAGTATATTTTTTAAATTAAACAAGTTTTGTTTTGAAACAGCTCTTTACTTTGAAATAAGACTAACTCTGCACTAAAAGTGAAAACCGGTGGAGTTGGGAGGAAATATTTTGATATTATCAAAATTTAAACATTTTCAATGGCCCAAGATTATTTCCCCCCCGCCCCCGCTCCCACCATATGTAGGTGTGTGTTTTGGCTGCAGAAACATCCAAGACTGACTTCTGCCCAGTTTGGGACAGGATATTTTTTTTTAAATCTAAAAAGAAAATGTCACTGGACATGAATAGTATTTCCCACCTAACACTACTAACCGAAACATGGAATTTTTAAAGACGAGGACCAGAGCTGTGCTTCTGCTTTGCACAACAGACCCCATCTCCTCCAATCCTGAACTGCGGGGCTTAGAAGTCAAATCAAAGCTATTTTGTTTGCTAACAGTCTCCAATTGTTGTCTTCGAGGCATTTTAAATGGAATCAGGAACCTTAAGTGAAACACTTCTATATTTTTAGAAACAGAAAAATATGGAAACAAATCCTGCAACATTATCCAACAAAACAGAGAGGTTTAGTTCTGTGCCCCCATGGCTCTCCATGTTGGTAGCAAGGGTCCAGCTGATGAATGTCCTGATCTCTTCCTTAGCCTGACGAAGGGTTTTTGAACCCGAAAGCTTGCTTAATAACTATTCTCCAACCATTTGGGTTGGTCTAATAAAAGATATCAAATTCACCCAAGGAACCTTGTCTGCCTATATCCTTAGACCAACACAGCTACAACCTAAACCCCTGCTCTCTCATGCACTGTTTGCTGCTGCCAGACGGCAAAGCCAGGAAACGCAACAAAGCTAGAGGACCCTGCGAACGGTATAGTGAGGAAGTGGGTAGAGAGAGGTGAGAAATGTTGCGGGGAGGAAGAGAGCCTAGTTGCAAACCAGAAATCCTTTGAACTGTCTTTGTACAGCAGAGCAGACCCTGAACAGAGTGCAAAACACTGGCGTCTGCCCGGGAGGACGGTCCTTGTTCCCAGGGGAGAGAGAGATGTGTTGTGTTCTCATGAACCAGGCATGCGCCTGGGATGGAGATTCCTGAAAGTGGGGTGTTAATTCCTCTGCCCAGTTAGCATGGGATTTGGCTTAGATGGCTAAAACTTTGACCTTGGCTATGTGAGGCGAGGGAAACATCTAGCTGGCACTGACTACGTTGCTCCTATTGAAAGTCCAAAGAATCAGGAAATACAGCCACAAACTATAGAGCCCCTCAGCTTCCCACAATGACAGGAATGAAATGAGAGATGGAAAAAATATCAAATGGAATAGTCAGTGACCCACACAAGGGAAAAGCTATTGGAATCGTCTAGTTTCCCGTCAATATACAAAGTTCATTGTCCTCGCAGCCTCCTCTGTGATGTAGCAAAGCCAGCGCACTGCGGCGATGGGGTTATGTGCAAAGCCTACATCGACTGTGGCTTCCTCACTGCCCCTTGGATTTGCCTTGCTGGTGTACAGAGCTGCAGCCCTCAGTGGTGTGTGCAGGGAGCTGGCATTTCAGATCTTAACGTGAACTGTGTGAAAGCCCCGCAGAGCTGCTTGGCATCTCTTGAGTTTTGCACGTGGCTCATCAGGGCGGAGAGTGGTTCCTGGCTCGTGTGTATTGGCCTCTGGTGGAGGCCTTAGCCTGTTACATGATTGTGGATTAGAATGGGGGGTGCGGGGGGGGGCAACCTTTTTGGCAGGCATGTCACAAGTCAAGCCCTGTGCCCTCCCCGCGTGCCACTCTGATCCCTTTCCCCTGCCCAGTCTGCTGCTCTGCTTTCTGCTCCCTGCCGCCTCCCTGGTCTGATGTGCGCCCATACCACCTGGGGCAAGCCACTTCCGAACTAGAAAGATCCCTCTTCTGGCAAGCTGTGGCTCTGTTGACTCAACCTCTTTGATTTGCAAAAATACAATATAGAGGGAAGATGTTACTTGGAGAGCCTGGCTGACCGGACATCAAAGGCGGCTCAGGGTGTAGCCTTATTCTGAGCTGCAGTAAAATAAATTGGTTAGTAAACAAATTGTGCAAGAGATGTGCGGGAGCATGGTTGTGTGCGTGCAGAGCGCAAATCTGTACGTGCCCTTGTGCAAGGGGGTTCTCCACAGGCATCAGGCTGCTGGCAGCAATCTGGACCTCATAAGGGATCAGAGCGGCCTGGGGGGTGATTGGAGGCGGGAGAATTGCCGTGCTTAACAGCCTTGGTGCCCAGTGCCAGCGTGGGCACTGCCGATACTCCGTAAGCTCCTGCAGGAACCAGGACTGAGCCCTTAGCCATAGTTTATTTTGCGTGGGAGAGTGGGGAAGGGGTGTGTGTGTGCGAGAGGGATTGGATTTGAATGGCATTCCCGTACTCTAAACGGGCCTTGCGATAGTTGTGTTCATCAGTCATTGTGACAACACAAGGAAACATTTTGCAAGCTGCCTGCACTTAGAGGTGCAGTTTCAGAAGCACGTAGACAAAGCTGCTCGAGTCCTTTTGGGTACGCTGAACTCCAAAGCTTCCGATTTGTCTGTGCACTTTGCTATTTGAGCACACAGATCTGGGGTTGTGGCTACGATAGCGGGTGTGCAAAAGCATGAATGTGTTTCTAAAAGTCTAGTTTCTAATGTGGACGCTGCTTGAATCACTGCTTTGGCTGCAGGGTCTTGTTCTGTTGCTCAGGGTCAAACTGCTGGCTCAATTTGAGTCCAAGAAGAAATTTGTCTCCTAGGTCAGAATGGCTAGGACTGGGGGTCTTTGCCCTTCTCCATAGCATGGGGCAGAGTACTATTCCTAGGATCCTTGCAGCGTATATTAACTCATTTCGTCTCTGGCATTGAGGTGGCAGGACGTGGCTTAGCTGTGGTTCATATTCATTAGTCTGACTCTTCTGTAGCCAAGCATAAAGCGAGTTTGGGTCACAATAATGTCCTTGGAAACAAGTGTCCAAATCACAACACTGGTGCTACTGGCACTAATGAACAGATTGGTCTAAAAGGTCAAAGATGAAATAGGCCGTGGAGAACAAATGTTGTTGTTGCACCTAAAAGTGATCACCCCCGGGCAGGGGTGGGGCAGGATAGGGACACGCTTGCACCGCCGCTTTGGGTGCAGTTGCTGTTACCTGATTAAAATGGATATCAGACACCAGGGTTGTCTGTCCAGTGTTTTTCCTCAGCACTACGTTTGCTCTGATCCAGATGAGGAGCTCTGTGTTATCAAACCATCTTTCAGTGCTTTTCAGAGGCAGGGAAAATAATGTGCATTTTGTAGATGGGGGTGAGGGGAAAGGAAACCTAGATTCACTTGCCTAAGGGTGCACAGGGGACCAGCGCCTGAGCTGGGGATTCAGGACTTTGGACCCCTGATCCACTGATCGAGTTGAACTGTGGCAAGTGAAGTGTGGGTGGGTGGCAATACACCACTCTTCCTCTCTCCACCCCTTCCATCAGCCTCCAAGGCCAGGATAGATCATGGGCATGAAATGCAACTCTCCGGGTGAGAGCTGGAGTAGCTGTGTTTTCAGTTGATTGATTATAGAGCTCTGTGTCTCCATTCTGATGATATTGTGACTTCTGGCTGGGAGCTGATGCTGAGAGACCAGGTTGGACTAGATCAGCCTTGTAACCCCACTAACATCCCCTGACCTTCTTAAAACACACACTGAAATCTGCCTCCCCAGCTGTTGTCCCATAAAACAAGATGCAGGCTGGCCCCTCTGTGTGATTATTAGTGTCCGAGTCAGAGGAGCGTTTCCAGTCTTTGGCTGCTGGGTGTAAATTGCTCTTCCGGCCCAAACTCATCTCTTCATCAAGACCTCTCTGGTTCTGACTCCACCTGCCAGCCACCCCCTTATCCTTTCTGGGTGCTGCAGATTCCTGGCTAATACATGAGGCCGTCTTGCATGTTCGTGCTGCTTGATGTTACAAGCCCATTCACACTTGCTGTATGTACTGCCAGTGATCTGTGCCTGCTTGGGACTGAGCTGTCTGCGCTAAGCAGAGAGAAGTCCTCCTCTGTCCAGAGCAGGAAAGGACAGCTGGAACGTCTGTGTATGAAGGGGCTAAAAGTGCCCTTGTCGAAAGGGTTGTGTTTGCCCTTGAGAGCCTGTGTGTGCAGTCTCTGAAGCGAATGGGTGTGGAAATGTGTCCAAAGGCATAATTGACTTGGGTCTGTATAGCAGCCCTTGCACAATAAGTACTCGGGGCCTCCCATTCATTGCCCTACTCGCTCCCTTTAGCAAGGGAGAAGGGTAATGATACACTCCACAAACAGGGACTGGGAGAGGCAGGTTTTGTTCCCAGATCTGCCACTGACTTCCTCATGCTGGGCAAGTTCCTTCATCTCTGCACCTCAGTTTCTCCATCTGTAAAATGGGGGTGCATTTTTGTGATCTGCACCAGATATTGCAGGGTGCATCCACCGTGTGTCAGCCTGGCTTCTGGACATGGGTTCCAGCCTGCACAAGATACAGGATTGACTGGGGCCACAAGAAGGTATTTCCCTTTATGTCCCATGCCTCTTTCTTCAGTTCTGCTCTGGGTCAGTCTCATTCCACGTTACTTTGTCTAACGTTGCGTTTCTCCAAAGGAGGGAGTGGGGAAGAGAGAGAGCATCTTCAGCAATAGAGGGTTATGCTAGAGCAAAGGGATGTAGATCAGAGAGAGCTCCGACCCTTGTGGCACATGTGTAGGTGAGGTAGGTGCAGACGTTTCAGGGTCAGAAACCTGACAACAGTGGAACACGTTTTTGTCACCCGGTTTCTCTGTTGAGGTGACACACTTTGTTAAAGTGATGGGAAGCGTTAACCAGCTGCATGTTTCAAGCGGTTATTATTAGCTAGCTTTTCCATACCAGGGCACCTGTGGG